CTCATCTGGGACACATGAAAGGTGTTATGAATCTGACTAAACTATGTAGGCAGCTCTAATTGATAAGCTACCTTACCCATTCTAGCGATCACTCTGAAAGGACCGATGTATCTATGGCCCAGCTTGCTCCGCTTCCTGAATCGGATCACCCATTTCCATGGGGATACCTCCACGAGGACTAAATCTCCGACCTGGAACTCTAGCTCTGAACGTCTCTAGTCTGCGTAACTCTTCTAACGACTCTGGGCCATTAGTAACCTCTGTTTGACCTGCTAGATCAGCCATATCGTCTTGAGCACTATCTCAGTGCTCCCTATCACTCTCTGACCTACATCTCCCCCAACAGAAGGGAGTTTGTCACCTCCTCCCATATAAAGGCTCAAAGGGAGGCATACCAATACTTGAGTGATGGTTGTTTTTGTATGAAAACTCAGCCAAGGGAAAGTAGGTATCCCAACTTCCACCAAAGTCCATAACACATGCGCGTGGCATGTCCTCGAGCGTCTTAATCGTCCTCTCACTCTACCCGTCTGTTTGTTGGTGGTATACGGTGCTGAAATGCAGCTGGGTACCCAACTCCTCATGAAATATCTTCCAGAACCTGGAAGTAAAACACACATCCCGATCTAACATTATCAATGTTGGCTCCCCATGTCGTGCCATCACCTCTTGAACGTAGATCGCAGCCAATTTATCCGCAAAAGAGCTCTCACTTATAGCCAGGAAATGAACACTCTTCGTTAACCGATCTACAATCACCCATATAGGATTAACACCTCACGAACTCCTTCGTGGCTTGGTGATAAACTCCATGGAGATCCATTTCCACTTCTACAGGGGAATCTCCAATGGTTGTAACTAGCAATGGGGACATTGGTGCTCTGCCTTGACTTAAAGACATGTTAAGCGTCTCTTGACTTCCCGTGCCATATCTCTCTTCATACAGGGCCACCAATAATCCCTGTTTAAGTCCAAATATATCTTGGTTGCCCCAGTATGGATCGAGAATCTCGACCTATGGGCCTCCTCCATCAAAATAGGCGAGCTCCACCCATATATGGCACCCATATCCGCCCATGGAAGGTCATAAGCCCGACTATCAGTCTTAAACTCAGAAATTTGCCTGATCACCCACTCTCTCTTATTGTTTTCTAGTCTCATAGACACCACCTGGGCCTATCGGATGGTATCTTATACTAGATTCATCTCTGTCATCCTCATGCACACGTCTCAGATCAGATCGCTCGCTGCTCTATGACTCAGGGCATCGGCTACCACTTCAGCCTTGCCAGCGTGATACAAAATTTCATAGTCATAGTCTTTTACTACATCCAACCACCTCCTTTGTCTTATATTCAAGTTGGGCTGATCGATAAGGTACTTCAGGATCTTATGGTTCGTGTATATGGTACATCGGACACCATAAAGATAGTGGCGCCAAATCTTGAGGGCGGATACCACTACCCGCGGCTCCAAGTCATGGGTGGGATACCTCATCTCGTAAGAGTTCAGATGCCTTGATGCATATGCTATTACGTAGCCTCTCTACATCAACATGGCACCCATTCCTGATATGGATGCATCACAATAGACTACAAAGTCCTCTACTCCCTCCAGAAGAGCTAATACTGGAACTTCACACAATCTCTACTCAAGAGTCTTGAATGAAGCCTGTTGCTCGGCCCCCAAACAAAAGTAACACCCTTCGTGGTCAATCTAGTGAGAGGAAGAACAATATTGTATAAATCTCTGATAAACATCTGGTAGTAGCCTGCCAGACCCAGAAAACTCTGGATCTCGGATGGGGATCTCGGTACCTCCCATCGCATAACTACCTCAATCTTGTCCGGGTCAACCAAAACTTTTGATTAACGTGGTGTCCCAAAAATTGGACCTATCCTAACCAGAAACCATACTTGGAGAATTTGGCATAAAGCCTCTCCATCCTCAATACCCCAAGAATCTCTTGCAGGTGCTCCTCATGTTGTTCTCTAGACCTTAAGTACACCAAAATGTCATTAATGAACACGATCACCGACCTATCCAACATGGGCCTACACACCCAGTTCATGAGGTCCATGAACGTTATCGGTGCATTGGTAAAAACAAGGTCTACAACTTCATTTAGACCCCATCGGCTAATTCTCGACCGATCTTAAATTTAACCGTACGAGGAGTTTATACTGTTAAATGACCGCGAAGAATTCGTAACTCCTTCATACAGACTTCGTTTTCGTCTATATTTTTACCGTTGAGTTCCTATTAATGAGATGTTCAACTCTCATTTAGGTCGCATAAGCCAAAAACCGCTCGAACTAAAATTCGAGTTTCGGGTCGTGCACTGCTAAGCCGAATCTTAGAAAAATCATAACTTCCTCATACGAAGTCAAATTTGGGCATTCCTTTTTTTTTTGTATATTCTAGGTTTAACATATACTAAAACTTTTGATTAGATCACTAAGGCTAAAAGTCGCTCCATCATAAATTCACTATTTACGCTTCTCGGTGTCGTGTCGGTTTTGTCGTGAAACTTCAATGGGTCATAACTTCTTCGTTATAACTCGGATTTCGACGCTCTTTATATGTACGGAACCCTTGATACATATTCTACAACTTGGTTAAGATTATTTATTCTAACTAATATTTTGTAAAAAAAATCGTTTTCAAACCCTATTATCTCTAAGTTGACTAGCCCAGATCTACGAGCATTACAACAAGTATATAAGGACCCCTAGTTCTAGGGAAATTGTTACACTTGATCCTAAGGAACCCTAGAGCCGATTTTTCCTCTCATCCTTTTCTTCTACATCATCCTCTTGCTTTTGGTGTTTGTAAGCCATTAGAGGAGTGACATTTGTGACTCTAAGCTCCAAGGAAAGAAGATTCTAGCCATTGTTGAAGAGGTAATCATGTAGATCTGTTCTTATATGTTAATTTCAAAATTCATATGCTAGATTAGGGTTCTTGAGTCTTGGATGAATTGCATGTAAAATAGAGAAACCTAGATCCAAGTATTAGGGTTTGTATGAGCACATAGGATGTTCTTTTGTATAAAACCCATCACATAGAACTTCAAATGTCACACTAAAACCTTCAAATTTTTTGTTGAATGAAAAATGATGCGACCAAGAATCTTGCACATGACATTAAATCGAATGAAACAAAAACATTGCAAGGCTGGACGCACAAAATTCTAAAACCGATTCCTTGCTTGGTTCCTGCCCAAGCTAGACTACAACTAGAAATCCTTACACCCCACTGACAATTCCCTACCCCACCTATATTCGACTTGATCATGGTTCCTTATCTATTCATTGACATCTCAAAAGAAGTCACTAGCTACAACTAGCTCCTAGACCAACCAGTTTCTTTTGAGAGACAATCCATGAACCTCCTGACCCATACATTCGATCGCCACCTACTATATTCCCATGCCTTAACAAAATCCTAAATCGAGATTCCACATACTCGCACCCTAAATCCCTATGATTCATCCTTCCAATACCACAAACTCGAATAGATCAATGGTCCTCCAAACAGAATACCTTGTTCTCATCCCCTTAGGGTACGAACTACCACCCACTGGTGTTGAAACCAA